GCCCATATCTTTCTTTCTTTCTTTCTTTCTTTCTTTCTTTCTTTCTTTCTTTCTTTCTTTCTTTCTTTCTTTCTTTCTTTCTTTCTTTTTTCCTTCTCTCTCTCTCTCTCTCTCTCTCTCTCTCTCTCTCTCTCTCTTTCTTTTCTTTTCTTTTCTTTTTGGTTAGGTTGTTTTTCCTTCTCTCTTTTTTTTCACTGTTTCCTGAGTTTATAGACTATGTATATTAATTCTCTATTGGAAGTATATGCAAAAATTCTTTCCAACTCTGGGGGCTTCCTCTTCACTCAACTGATTGCTTCCTTTGCTGTACAGAAGCTCGCTCCCACCCCTAGGAATCATCACCTATTGAAAACCCCAGTGACAGCAAGAGAAACCTCTCTTTGAGTTGTTGGCCAGGTGCCCGAGAGAGGCTCCAAATAGGCTATTGCAGTTACCCTTGGTTGATTCCCACAAATTCAAGGTTGCTGAACTCACCAAACACTCTAGACACAGGATTTGGAGGAATGGAGCTAGAACTGACATGGAAGAATCATTCCTGAGGGTTGCTCTTATAGTATGAGAAGGCACAAGATACAAGCTGCCAAGAAATAAAAGGAATCAGTAGCCCCACTCAACTCTAAAGCTCCTGGACCACAGTGATGGGCCCAGTAAGACATTCTCAATGGTGTAATTAGTAGCAATCGTATCTTGCGGGCAAGCAAACCAATCCAATTTGATCTAAGGCCCACTGAACAGAAGAGATTATTAGATGTAGGGGTTATGTTGTAGACGTAGTCAGGGCTGGGAACTCCATAGTCACTTATTCTCTGCATTTTGACAAAGTGTGGGTCTCTGTAGGAGCTGCCATCACTTTATTGATGAGATATGCTACATTTATCTGTGCATATAAGGAAAGACATATAGGATACCATTAGGAGCTGTATTGATTTAGGAAAATGATAGTAGTAGCTTCTCCTCTAGAGTCTATGATCACACTTTAGCAGCTTTATCAAAGGAATTCTCAGAGACTGTGGTTTGGGTCATATTGTGCCTATGCTAATTGAACAGCCCACTTTGAGTGTCCATCACCCATGGTATATACAAGATCTCCCTACTGATGTGGCGATATGTTGGATCCTACCTCCATTGATATAGCTGCAGTGTTCCCCCTCTCTGTATCTGGACTGGTGGCAGAGATACAGAAGGAGATATGGAAAATGGCATGTGTCGTCAACAAGTTACTAGCATTACCACCACCATACTGACAGTGATAGATTAAGAACTGAGTGAAATAAGAGGGGCAGTCCTCTAAAATCAAGCCAGTTACTTACTGCTAAAAAAACCACATTAACTGTAAACAATATCCAGATGTGGGCTGCTTTAATATTTCAGACTTCCAACATAACATACAAGATCAGATAGGCCTGGGAGGAATATTCTTGTCTCTTTTCACATGACAAAAGACAGTAAGGCCTAACACCAGGTGTTTTCCCTTGCTGTACTTGCATTTGCTTAAGCTAACTGTAAACATCACCTCATGTTTTGCTTGCTTTAGTAATAAAACCGAGACATGCTTTGTTTGCACTCCTCTTGAGCTCAAACGCTGGAAGTCTACAGGTACCTGACTCGGGTCTTTGGGACATCCTCCCATGCTGGAGACTTAGTGGTCACAGGGCATGCTGAAAAAAAGGGAGAAACTGAAAGTGTTTCTCTCTCTCTCTCTCTCTCTCTCTCTCTCTCTCTCTCTCTCTCTCTCTCTCTCGTATTGGTTTTTCTCACATAGCTATTTTTGTCATTACATCTTTTCTACTTCAGTGCTCTTGGTGTGCTGTGTTAATAGCTAGTACTATATTAACTCTGTGAAGATGTTTGTCAAGAGTGTGTTATGGCTTTTTCCAACCTGTTTGATGATGAGTATCTATTTACTTTTCAATCCCAATCTCTTCCCAATCTTACCAGATGCTAATGTACTTGAATAGTTAATCAACTGCAAAGTATTGTTGTTGGAAAACAAACAATTAAATGGATTCAAGGTAGAGAGAGAGAGAGAGAGAGAGAGAGAGAGAGAGAGAGAGAGAGAGAGAGAGATTAAGAAATATGTTTAGAAGAACAAGTCTGGAGCTCAAGAGGAAGGGAGGGACATGACAGAAGTTGGAGGGGGAGATGAAATAGTAGAAGTGATAAAAATATGGTGCTCATGTATAAAATTCTCAAAAAAGTACAAAGTTTACATTAAGAAATGAGAGAGAGAAAGAAAGAAAGAGAGAAAGAAAGAAAAAAAGAAAGAAAGAAAGAAAGAAAGAAAGAAAGGAAGGAAGGAAGAAAGGAAGGAAGAAAGGAAGAAAGAGAGAGGGGGAAGGAGGGAGCAAGGGAGGGAGGGAGGAAGGGAGGAAGGAAGGAAGGAAGGAAGGAAGGAAGGAAGGAAGGAAGGAAGGAAGGAAAGAAGAAATGACTACCAGGCATTTGTGGTGCGCCCCTTTAATGCCAGGACTCAGGAGGCAGAGGCAGGTGGATCTTTGTAAGTTAGAGACCAGCTTAGTCTACAGAGTGAGTTCCAGGATAGCCAAGTACATAGAGAAACCCTGTCTTGAAAACCAAAACAAAATAAATAAAGAAAAAAAAAAAAGACAAAGAGACACTTAGCTCGGGAAATTGTACCTCAGACATAGTTACATAGAAGATGGAAATGGCCACCTCTATTCCAAGGCCGTAACATCTGCTTCCTCGGAAGGAAGCTAAGGAGAGCTTAGTGCCACCTCTTGTTCCCCCTGGTGTCTGAAGTCTGCATGTTTAAGAAATCATTAGTTCCTAAGCTCTTTGTAGTTTGCACCCATCTCCCTTTGTTCTCTCCCTGACTCTGTGCCAGTCTGGTAACTTCAAGGATATGGGAAATATCAATGGAAGGATGGTCCCTCTATCATCACTGTTTATGTCCCTAGCTTCTCCAAAGCAAGTTGTTGGAGTACTGATTTAAAGGACATCCATGGTTCTCTGGGTTTCCTCGGTGTTTATTGTTATGTTCTCCCTTTCATCTGTAGTTTTGATTATTACATGGTAAGAGAAATTTCTTTTCTGGCACACTCTACTTGGTGTTCTTGAACCTCTTTCTTTAGGTTTGGGAAATTTTCTTCTATAATTTTGTTGAAAAATATCTTTTGTTCCATGGACATGGGTTTTTTCTATTTTGTCTAGTTTTATTATTTATAGATTTTGGCTTTTGAGAATGTCCCAGATTTCTTGAATTTTTTTTAGATGTAACCTATTATTTGACAGTGGTATCCATTTCTTCCATCATGTCTTTAATGCCTGAGATTCTCTCTTCCATCTCTTGTGTTCCGTTGATGAGGCTTGCCTCCGAGGCTCCCATTGAAGTTCCTATATCTTTCATTTCCACAGTTCTCTCAGTTTGGGTTTTATTTATTGACTCTATTTTCCTTTTCAGGCCTTAAACTCTTTTATTCCTACCCTTTCACTGCTTGTTTGTGCTTTCATAGGTTTCATTAGGGATGTTTTCGTTTCTTCTTTAAGAACATCTATCATATCTATAAAGGGTATTTTAAGGTCCTTATCTTATGCTTTGTGCATTTTTCAGGGACTGCTGTAGTAAGGTTCCTGGGCTCTAGTGGAGACATATTGTCAAGGCTGTTGTGTTGTGTTTTTATGTTGGCATCTTGGCATCTGGGTTTGAGATGACTGATTCTAGGTGTTGATAGCTGGTCTTTGTTTGCTTTGGTTTCTATTGTTCCCTCTGTTTCTTAGAGAGTGTGGGAGCTGTGTGTTACCTGATAGGAAGTGCTTCTAGAATCCTGCCAGGTGTAGCCACTGGGTGGTCTCAGGTACAATGAGTTTCTAGGTATTGGGAGCTGACATTTAGGAATGGGGATGGACTAGAAGGGGGGAGGTGCTGATGGGGGTCCACAGGAGAAAGGAAAGCAGCAGTGTGTTTCACCAGGATCTGCTTAGTCCTCTGGGAAGATGGGCAGAGGGTGAGCAGTGGCCACAGCAGGTAATATGCTACAGAGTTGGGATGAGACTGGGGGATTAGATTTGGTGGAGAGGAGAGAGAGAGAATGGAGAGCCGAAGCTAGCTTACCTGTTGCATTGGCCTATGTATTTTCCTGGAGGACATGGCCTGTGCCTTCCCAGGGAATGCCTGCTAGAATTGGGGGCTGGGATAAAGGGATGGGGGGGGCAAGGAAGGTTGGAGGAGAAGATATGAGCCATCTGCTAGAGATGGGAGATGAGGGGGAGGGGACACAACAGTAGGAGGTCTGCGACAAAGCTGGTAAATGGGACTGGATTGGGAGAAGAGGATGGAGGGTCTTTTTCTGGCTTTTGCATGTCCCCATACATCTTCAGTGTGGCTTTAGACCACAGCTTGGGGCAGGCTGGAAGGGGTAAGTAGGGCTCTGTCTTGCTATGGTTCTTGTAGATAGCCACCCCCACCTTAAAAAAACAAAAACAAAAAACAAAAAACAAAAAACATTGAGAGCTTTAAAATAATGGGCCTGGGGAGATGGCTCATAACTGAAGTTCTTGCTTCCCAAGCACGAGGACCTGAGTGTGATCCTTAGCATTCACGTAAACGCTGAATACTATGACATGTTCGTGTGCTTCCTCTGGGAAAGTGGGGACAGAAGGACCTTTGGGGCTTGTGGAGAGCAAGTCTAGAGGAATCAGAAAGCTCCAGGTTTAGACAGAAACACTCTCAAGAAATATGGTAGAGAGTACTTGAGGAAGGTACTGACTTTGACTTTTGGCCTCCACTCATCATGTATTTGCACACACACAAAGATTTGCTCACAAATAGACATGAACACGTGCACAACAAAAAGTAGATGCTAAATATATTAATCACTTCTTAAGTGTTGCCATCACCTTGAATGATTGAACTGTGAATTACTTGGCTGCTCGTAAGAAAATACCCAAGACTTTGTCATCTTTAAAGGACGGAATTTTTTTTTCTCATCTTGTCTCATAGTTCAGGAGTCTTGTTGACTAATTTCTTTCCCTGTGTAGACTTTCCAGTAAACTTGAAGCATTCGGCAACTTGCTAAGATCTGGTCTCATTAATGGTTTTGTGGTTGTTTATCCAACACTGCTTTAACTGAAAATGCTATTCATTATAGAGTTAGACTTCACCTTGAATGCTCATTTCTCTACTCTGTCATTTCAAGATGACATACTTCTTATATGCATGTGTTTGCCATGTACATATGTGACAGGGTAAGACAAGCCAAGGTTTCCTCCATCTCAGATTCCTGTGGAGGCCATTTCAGGTTTAACTAGAATTGGATCTCCTTGGTGAAGGATCTCATGGAAATTACCCAACTCTAGGAACCCAAGGTCAATGTGTCCTAGCTAATTTCTGTAAGCTTATTGGTCCAGAACCCCCTACAGCTAACTGCTTTTTACTTCTGTTAAACTGTCTATTTCTGTGGAACACCCTCAAGTTGCCAGGACATGGTTGTAGCCTTCAAAAACCCTGTGCTCTGGACACTTGGAGTCAACCCTAGGTACCCTAATACCTATGTGCAGTCCCAGTCACCTGGAATAAAAACTTTTAATTAGCTATAAACTGTATCTGAGTGGTCATCTCTGATGGGCAACTCATAACACAGTCTCCTGCACATGTTGGGTAACACTGTTATTCTCAACCCTCAATTATATAAGGAACATGGTTTTGTGGATGCAGGAAGACAGATCAGCATGTCAGATACTTGTCGCCAAAACCAACAACCTGAAATTAATCCCTGAACTCAACTGGTGGAAAAAGAGAATCAATTCGTATGAGTTGTCCTCTGACCTCCATACATCCCATGGCATACAGGCCACCATGCCCAAATAATAAATAAATGTAATTGTTAAATTAAAATAAAAAGCAAAACATCTATTGTTGGTTGTTTTGAGTCTTTTGGGGTGGGGGTGGGGTGCCACCCAGCTCCCAAATAAATCACACATGGAGGCTTATTCTTACTTATGAATGCCAGGCCTCAGCTTGGCTTAGTTTCTAGCCAGCTTTCCTTAACTTATTCCGACTACCTTTTGCCTCTGGGCTTTTCCAGTTCTCTAACTTCTGTAAATCTTACTCTTACTCTGTGGCTCACTGTGTAGCTGGGTGGCTGACCCCTGGAGTCCTCCTTCTGGCTTCTCAAGCTTAGATCTCCCCCTGGTTTTCTCCTTCTATATATACTCTCTACCTGCCAGCCCCGCCTATCCTTTCTCCTGCCTTGCTATTGGTCAGTTCTTCATCAGACTGTCTGATGTTTTACACAGGCACAGTAACACAGCTCACAGAGGTAAACAAATGCAGCATAAACAAAAGTAACACAACTCACAATATTCTACTACAAACATATTTTTTTAAAAAATGGTCTCAAATAGGGACTGATACATCAAGTAGTTTCTACTGTGTCACCATTAATGTTGGGTAATCCATTCACTGAAGGTTTGTTTGTCATTGATGGAAATGCCATATTTTATCTGAAAATCAGACACATCTCCATCTTTCTCCCATGTAATGTGCCAGCTTTGGTGCCCACACACTCGGATTTCCTTCTCTACTTCAAACAAACCACACTGTCACTCTCACATCCATCCACTTCCTGTAGGGCTTCTTTCCTAAATCCCCCACCCCACTTTCTTCATTTACCCTAATATCTCACAAGTCTAGATGCTGTGGGATGTTAATGTATGTCCTGTGGGAGCCCTTCTTGGGTTCCTTGTGGCGTTACCCAGCAGGTTTGCATAGAGGATGATTAGGACCATGGCCCTGAGTGCAGGTGTCTGAGATGGTCTGCACTTGGCTGTACTGGGGGATGGTCTGTATGTCAAGTTGCTCTGATTGGTCAATAAATAAAACCTGATTGGTCGTGGCTAGGCAGGAAGTATAGGCGGGACTAACAGAGGAGAAATAAAAGAACAGGAAGGCAGAAGGAGACGCTGCCAGCCACTGCCAGGACAAGCAGCATGTGAAGATGCTGGTAAGCCACGAGCTACGTGGCAAGGTATAGATTTGTAGAAATGCGTTACTTTAAGATATAAGAACAGTTAACAAGAAGCCTGCCACGGCCATACAGTTTGTAAGCAATATAAGTCTCTGTGTTTACTTGGTTGGGTCTGAGCAGCTGTGGGACTGGCGGGTGACAGAGATTTGTCCTGACTGTGGGCAAGGCAGGAAAACTCTAGCTACATCTAGACTTTCGTAGTTCAAAAGTTCAGTCTTTTTCACCTCAACAGCATCAGTTCCTCAAGCACCCCACCTCTGCTTTTCAGTGGTAACAGCAGGTTCCTCAAAGTTGAATTTGAAAATGTAATGACATAGAAAGGACATCACACGTAGAAAAACACATTTGATAACAGTGCTGTGTATTATTCTATTGCATTTGTGTTTACAGCATCAGTCTGTCTCCTGCTTCTGCCAGGATCTAAAGCAGACTCAGAAGGCCCAGTGCTCCTGAGACCACCCTGGCTCCCAGAGCTACACTAACAGGGACAGCGGTGTTGTTCTATGTCACCAGAAATGGGGACCAGTCACTGATTCCCCCTAGCGGATAACCATCAGCTGTCCAATTGTCTGACTCTCAACTCCAATTCTACTTCAAGGCTCTGATACAGCTTCTCCAGCCTTCACTGGTGCTGCTAGTAACAAAATAGCCAAGACTTTGCAAGTTTCAAAAGGCAGACTTTTTTCTCATCATCTAGGAGGTTTATGAGTGCAAGATCAAGGAGTCAGCAAGCTTGAAATTTGGTATGGACCTCTTATTTTAAGACGATGCCGTCTGATTTATAATGCTTCTGCCCTTCTGACTTAACTCCCTCCAAGCACTCAATTTTTAACCTCTTTTTCTTTTTCTTTATTGTCTTTCATACCTGATGGCAGCCTTCCTTCCTCCAGTCCTCCCACTCCCAAACCTTCCCTCTACCCCAAATCCACTGCTCCTTCATTTCCCTTCAGAAAAAAGAGAAGGCCTCTCAGGGATATCAACAGAACCCAGCAAAACAAGATGCAATAAGACTAGGCACAAGCTCTCCTATCAAGCCTGGGCGAGGCACCCCAGTAGGAAGGAAAGGGTTCTAAGACCAGGCAAAAGAGTCAGAGACACACCCACTCCCAATGTTAGAGTCCCATAAGAGCACCAAGCTAAACAACCACAGTATGTGTGCAGAGGCCTCTCGCAGACTTATGCAGGCTCCATGCTTGCTACCTCAGTCTCTGTGAGCCTTTATGAAGCCCGTTTAGTTGATTCCATGGGCTGTGTTCTCCTTTCGAAGACTCC